ATAAAACCTTCAATGGTCATACACCCAATGAAAATAGTTTGTTGGATCTCGATCGTAGTGATACACATATTCATAATATTGATGCCAAAAGATGCAAAGTTGATAATGATAGTGCAACATATTTGTGGCACTGCAGCCCCCTTTTCCTTCGTCCTCTCCCCCTCTTTCCCCCCTTCTCCTACTCCAACAAGGAAGGAGGGAGTCCTACTCCCGGTGGGAGTAGGACTCCCCTTGGCGCGCCCCTCCTAGGTCGGCCGCCCCCTCCCCCTTTCTCCTTTATATACGGGGGCAGGGGGGCACCTCTAGGGAGAACAACAATTGATCCCTTGGATCTCTTATCCGTGTGCGGTGCCCCCCTCCACCATAATCCACCTCGATAATATCATAGCGGTGCTTAGGCGAAGCCCTGCGACGGTAGAACATCAAGATCGTCACCACGCCGTCGTGCTGACGGAACTCTCCCTCGACACTCGGCTGGATCGGAGTCCGAGGGACGTCATCGAGCTGAACGTGTGCTGGAACTCGGAGGTGTCGTAGTTTCGGTGCTTGATCGACCGGGCCGTGAAGACATACGACTACATCAACCGCGTTGTGCTAACGCTTCCGCTTATGGTCTACAAGGGTATGTAGACAACAGTCTTCCCTCTCGTTGCTATGCATCACCATGATCTTGCGCGTGCGTAGGAATTTTTTTGAAATTACTACGTTCCCCAACAGGAGGTATTAGGTTCAATTTGTTTTTACATTTCTTTCTTTCATTTAGTTTGCGAGTCTCGTTCTCTTACATGCTAAAATCCACGTCTCCGTGGCGAAAGGTGTTTCTCAACAAAGCAAGAATAGACATTTTCATTGCAAAAACATTTAGATGTATTGTTTTTTAATAGAGTATAAATTATAAACTTGCATTTATGTGAACCTATAAATATGGTATACATAGATTTTGATAAATAAAGGCTTTTTTGTGTTGTCAGTTACAGTGAACGCGAGGGATTTTTTTTCCTCAACCAACCATGCATCATATGCAACATTAAAGCTAAAGGTCTTGTTTGCTGGATGAGAGGTGTTGGATTCCTCGAGGTTGTGAAGGCTCCATCTACTAAGTTTAATATGCATTGGAATTGGTTTATGCCTAGACCATAAAGTTAGAATGCAAGTATGATCTAAAACCAATTAAATGAAAGCCAATTTACATAAAATATTTAGAAGATAATGCATCAAGTTAGTTCTCTCTAAAGATATTCCATTTCTTAGGGGAGCATCCTAAGTGATAGTGCCTCGAGAGTTACCTAACATGCAACATATGTGTTGTCAATGTGTCCTTATAGATTTTTTTTATAACTGTCCCTATTGAATATTGGTAACAAGTGTATAGTAGGTTATGGTTTAAGACAAAAATGAATGAGATCGTGTCCATCACAACTGGAGATTTGGGTGACTCCATTAAGTGATAGAGAATTTCATTTGCGATCTGCACGGGCCCTCCTGGTACCCTGTAATATAGCAACCATAGGCGAACATAGTGCACTGGGTTTGGGTGGCGGTGGGAGTCACCTTGAGCGGCCTATGAGGCACTAGGCTATCCCTGATGAGAATTTTTGTCTTCATTTTTAGAATGGTGGTTTATGGGTTTTTTTGGGGCTAGAAGGAGGGTTAAACCATGTGTTAATTCATCTCCTTGGATTCTTTTGTACTGAATCCTTTGATCGTTTGCTTACTCTCATGTTAGTGCCTACCACAAGCAGGGGCGAACCTACCATAATACATTGATATTCACATGAATACCCATTTTTTGCTGAAAAATTTAATGTGTGTACATCAGTTTAACATTAAATAATAATGGAATTACTAATTCTTGTAAAGGAAGGACATAGTGTATTCGGTAGGAGCATAAGGTGGGAGGTATTAGGTTCAAATTTTTTTACATTTCTTTCTTTCATTTAGTTTGTGATTCTCTTTTGCTTACATGCTAAAAACCACGTCTCCGTGGCGAAAGGTGTTTCTCAATAAGGCAAAAATAGACATTTTCATTGCAAAAACATTTAGATGTACTATTTTTAACGAAGTCTAAATTATGAACTTGCATTTGTGTTAACCAATAAATATGGTATACATAGATTTTGACAAATAAAGGTTTTTTTGTGTTGTGAGTTACAGTGAATGCGAGGGATTTTTTCCTCAACCAACCATGCATCGTGTGCAACCTTAAAGCCAAAGGTCTTGTTTGCTGGATGAGAGGGGTTGGATTCCTCAAGGTTGCGAAGGCTCCTTCTAGTAATCTTTAATATGCATTGGAATTGGTTTATGCCTAGACCATAAAGTTAGAATGCAAGTATGATCTAAAACCAATTAAATGAAAGCTAATTTACATAAAATACTTAGAAGATAATGCATCAAGTTAGTTTTCTCTAAAGATATTCCATTTCTTAGGAGAGCATCTTAAGTGACAGTGCCTCGAGAGTTACCTAACATGCAACATATGTGTTGTCAATGTGTCCTTATTGATTTTTTTTATAACTGTCCCTATTGAATATTGGTAACAAGTGTAGTAGGTTCTGGTTTAAGATAAAAATGAATGAGATCATGTCCATCACAACTGGCGATTTGGGTGGCCCCATTAAGTAATAAAGAATTTCATCCGCGATCTACCATTTCCACCAATATTTCATGGGACAAAAATGAATGAGATCGTGTCCATCACAACTGGAGATTTGGATGGCCACATTAAGTGATAGAGAATTTCATCCGCGATCTACCATTTCCACCAATATTTCATGGGACAAAATTGAATGAGATCGTGTCCATCACAACTAGAGATTTGGGTGGCCCCATTAAGTGATAGAGAATTTCATCCGA